CCACTCTAGCAAGGGATGAAACGCAAAAAAATGCCACCATGATCGGCAAGCCGACTTGACGTACTCTGCCATCCAGTGGGCAACATCGTAATCCAGGCGGGTGCCCTCATGCGTGATGGCTTCATCTCGGTGTGATCTGCCAACCCTTGCCACGGGTTGCTGGATAAACCGGGCATATGCCACACGATGTGCCACGCTCAGATTAGCACGGCTGGCTACGGACAGTGTGTAAGAAGTCCAACATACATACCATGCCCGGCAACATACCACAAACGACATGGCCCCGTGCTCCTTTATCTCAGGCGCATATGTGAATGTGTGGGATCGTGGGGAGCTAAAGTCCAGTCATCAAATCAACTGCTGGACGAAGGCCCCGTTACCCCCACCCCGCCCCGCCATCTGTGTGGGTTGTGAGGGCTATTTGACCGTACATCACTGCCTCTGGTCAGTACAGGTTGGTAAAGGTGGGGGCGGACTGCAGAACAACGAGTTTTGCCGCACTGTCCTCTATTGCCCACAATGCCTGCTGGACCGGAGGCTTTTTGAAGGGGGGGGGGGCACGGTGGGCACCCATCAAAGCACTATCCAGGGTAAAAAAAAAAAAACTCTGCTTAGCTTCCAAGGTCTGATAGGAACGAGCCCGGCTCTGGGCAATGTCAAAATACGTGGGGATCAGAACTTGGATACGCGAGGTCAAGAGGCCTGTGGCGTCTGCTGAATGAGACGATTTAAAACTCGTCGTTTATATGTAAAGAAAAAAATCAGTTTGAGTTCATAAAAAAAAGCCAAATATAAGTGTGCCTTCACTGAAATGGTCATAACGGGGTTTTTTTCTCCGTCAACTGTGCTCAAATCACATTCATATTTTGACACTGGCGCAACGCCACGCGACGGAGGAATTGCACAGCGAGCAGTGACACGTGTGACACTGTGCTCGAGAAATGCGACTGCTGTAACTTCAAATTTCTTCAAATCTGTAATAAGTGGCAGACTTACTATAGACGGACGGCCCTCTCTGTGATATGCCATGCAAAGCGTCAAGAGGTGGAATGAGCCAAATTAAGTACATTTTTCTGAGGCCTCTATGAGGCCTTGAGAGTTAATGTGCGATCCCTAATTAATGTTTTAACTGCCAAACCATGAACATGTATGGGTGGGTATATATCCCCTCTGGACTGTCATAACTTTACTGTCATTCATCCACACTTTGATCCTTTCATATTTCTCACAGAGCCACGCAACAGCTCGTTGACATGGTTACCAAAGAGTTACCTCTGAGAACACGCCATGTGACCTCTGGTCCACATACGCTGGAGAGGGCAGTACATTCCCACTTGCTCTGCTGATGATGAAAGTGAGGTTCATCAAAGGAGTCAAAAACTGATGCTTTGTTTCTCAGGAGATGGATTTTAGCCAACTTAAGTGCAAAAACAAATTTAGCGCGATGGGTTTTTCGTGTGTGTATTGATTGGTTGCCAGGCTCCAGACCATGAACTCATATCAGACGTGATAATCCAGTTGTAAATCGCAGATGGCTGACACGGATTCAAACCCAGGGTCTATCAAAAGTGCCAACTCATTTCTCACTGACACATCAACTCCCAGAGCCACCCAGCCCACCCCCTCTATCACATTCACATCTTGAGTCTTGAGCTCCCCCGTCTCGTAATCAAGTGTGGTCATCCCACTGTACCGTGTGAACGGGCGAGGTGATAATGATTGGGAAATGATCTGGCTGCTGGGCTGGCTGAATTGGTTGGCTAGTGAGTCCGTTAGCATGTCTTGTGCAATTTTATGGGCAAGTTGGTCAGGTTTTAAATCTCGTACAGCAACGCACAAGAGAGTGGTGAAGTCAGAAACATGCCCAGTCACTTTCAGTTGTGTGTGGCACATTTACTACCCGCAAATATTCACAAAAATCCCCCATACAGCCTACGTAAGACTGTTGGGGCAAGTGCTGTTACTGAGCACCTGTTAAGGCCAGCATGGCACACGAGGGGGGGGGGGTGCTTGGCCAACAACACTATCGACCGCCTTTGTCTCCACGGTGATAATATTTACACACCACACAGATGCCAATTTAAGTGTGGGTTGACCCACAGGAGGGCATAGGACCAGTTCAGATGTCACTCCCCGCTGATGATAGTTATGGCTGGGAATTGAACCCAAGTGGCTGTAATCGTAGGGCAGCGCACTTGCCATTGCATCACACATTCGTCCACAAAAACACAATACACACATACAGTGAGAGAAAAAAATATTTGATCCCCTGCTGATTTTGTACGTTTGCCCACTGACAAAAAAAATGTTCAGTCTATAATTTTAATGGTAGGTTTATTTTAACAGTGAGAGACAGAATAACACAAAAAAATCCAGGAAAACGCATGTCAAAATGTTATAAATTGATTTGCATTTTAATGAGGGAAATAAGTATTTGACCCTTCTGCAAAACATGACTTAGTACTTGGTGGCAAAGCCATTGTTGGCAATCACAGAGGTCAGACGTTTCTTGTAGTTGGCCACCAGGTTTGCACACATTTCAGGAGGGATTTTGTTCCACTCCTCTTTGCAGATCTTCTCCAAGTCATTAAGGTTGAGGCTGACGTTTGGCAACTCGAACCTTCAGCTCCCTCCACAGATTTTCTATGGGATTAAGGTCTGGAGACTGGCTAGGCCACTCCAGGACCTTAATGTGCTTCTTCTTGAGCCACTCCTTTGTTGCCTTGGCCGTGTGTTTTGGGTCACTGTCATGCTGGAATACCCATCCAAAACCCATTTTCAATGCCCTGGCTGAGGGAAAGAGGTTCTCACCCAAGATTTGATGGTACATGGCCCCGTCTATCGTCCCTTTGATGCGGTGAAGTTGTCCTGTCTCCTTAGCAGAAAAACACCCCCAAAGCATAATGTTTCCACCTCCATGTCTGACGGTGGGGATGGCGTTCTTGCGGTCATAGGCAGCATTCCTCCTCCTCCAAACACAGCGAGTTGAGTTGATGCCAAAGAGCTCCATTTTGGTCTCATCTGACCACAACACTTTCACCCAGTTGTCCTCTGAATCATCCAGATGTGCAATGGCAAACTTCAAACGGGCATGTATATGTACTTTCTTGAGCAGGGGGACCTTGCGGGCGCTGCAGGATTTCAGTCCTTCACGGCGTAGTGTGTTACCAATTGTTTTCTTGGCGACTATGATCCCAGCTGCCTTGAGATCATTGCCAAGATCCTCCCGTGTAGTTCTGGGCTGATTCCTCACCGTTCTCATGATCATCGCAACTCCACTAGGTGAGATCTTGCATGGAGCCCCAGGCCGAGGGAAATTGACAGTTCTTTTGTGTTTCTTCCGTTTGCGAATAATCGCACCAACTGTTGTCACCTTCTCACCAAGCTGCTTGGCAATGGTCTTGTAGCCCATTCCAGCCTTGTGTAGGTCTACAATCTTGTCCCTGACATCCTTGGAGAGCTCTTTGGGTCTTGGCCATGGTGGAGAGTTTGGAATTTGATTGATTGATTACTTCTGTGGACAGGTGTCTTTTATACAGGTAACAAGCTGAGATTAGGAGCTCTCCCCTTAAGAGTGTGCTCATAATCTCAGCTCGTTACCTTCATAAAAGACACCTGGGAGCCAGACATCTTATTGAGAGAGGGTCAAATACTTATTTCCCTCATTAAAATGCAAATCAATTTATAACATTTTTGACATGCGTTTTTCTGGATTTTGTTGTTGTTATTCTGTCTCTCACTGTTCAAATAAACCTACCATTAAAATTATCGACTAATCATTTCTTTGTCAGTGGGCAAACATACAAAATAAGCAGGGGATCAAATACTTTTTTTCCTCACTGTACATACGTATTAACTACCTCCATTTTAACAGTGCTGGTGCTCAGCTCAACCTCCAAGTGCATTACTTATTTTAGGCTGAGTCAACCTAAAGGTGGTCCAATTCCAGGTTTGCATTCATGTGCAAACAATAACGATAAAGACCCCCCCCATTAAGCCTACATTGGCTGTAGGAATACAAATAATGAGCACAAGAAATGCACAGATCTCCTCTGTAGCCTAAATGCTGTTAGTGAGCACACCACCTATTAGAGCCGACACAGTAAAACTACTTACACACTTACACACACAGACAGTTGACCTGCACATACACACTGTAGAACACACACACACACAGACAGTTGACCTACACATACACACAGTAAAACCACTTACACACACACACAGACAGTTGACCTACACATACACACAGTAAAACCACTTACACACACACACAGACAGTTGACCTACACATACACACAGTAAAACCACTTACACACACAGACAGTTGACCTACACATACACACAGTAAAACCACTTACACACACACACACAGACAGTTGACCTACACATACACACAGTAAAACCACTTACACACACACACACAGACAGTTGACCTACACATACACACTGTAGAACCACTTACACACACACACAGACAGTTGACCTACACATACACACAGTAAAACCACTTACACACACACACAGACAGTTGACCTACACATACACACTGTAGAACCACTTACACACACACACACAGTAGAACCAGTCTGACACAGCACACGTATGCATACACACACAGCTGACCATCACGCACAGACACAGCAGGACCACACTGACAACAAAGAGCCCCTGAAAAGCCTCAGACTATAGGGGCAAGCGCTGTTCGCGAGCAGCACCCACGAAGGCCGGCACGGCTCACCAGGGGGTGGGGGTGGCCAACACCACGCCCGACCGCCTTCGTCTCCCGAGTGGCGATGTTTACGCACCGCACCGGGGTACTCATTTGATGCCGAGTCGACCTAGGGGAGGCCCGTGACCGGTTTAGAGAACCGCCACCGGCGTCGGCTGCGAGTGGGAATCGGATCAGACTCGGATCGCCAGGTTCGTAGCGCGGCGGAGCCAACTGCTACACCGCCGCTTCCCACACACACACACAGACACAGCGGCATCGCACTCACATGGCGTCGTCCTCAGATAGAGGTTGTCCCGTATCGTCTGCTGGAACTCATGGTCCAGCGAGCCCTTGGCGAACCGCTGGTTCAGGTAGTGCCGCAGGTCCTTGTTAATCAGGCTGCCTGGAAGTGGAGAGCACACGAACAGCGACACTCGGAGTCAGGGGCGAGCGGTCGAATCCACCACCACCACCACCACCACCGCTCCCCTAGGCCAGGCGGCGCCCAGTCCCGTAAACACTTGGCAGCCAGACGCAGCCCCAAAGTCGGCACGCGGTAGCGCCACCCCCCCCCCACTCCGCCACAGTGTGGAGTGAGTGATGAATGAAGGGGGCGGGTTCTGCATTCCGGGTCGAGCGACCGGGAATCCGTGCCGTGTTTTTATCGCCAACGCAACCTTTCTCTCGGTTCACTCGCGGGGTAAGGGACGGGCTGCCGAGAGAGAGGCGCGCGTTCGAAAGGTCAGCCCGGATTCGGCTACAAAAAATAAGAGCGCGGAGAGGGGACGGCAGCTGAGCCAAACAAGCGGTGTTCGAATGAATGTTAAAGCAGGGGCGCGGCGAGAGAGGAAGTCTCTGATTTTGACACCGTAATTCAGTGAGTTGCTTTAAAATACATTCTAAAGAGTCTAGGTTCATCATCAGCCATGGTTAATCCACTGCTAGATGAAGGCCTCCCCAAGCCATGGATGCAAACTCTCATGATCCTGCGATGCAAGAATCCAATTCATGCAACCCCCTTAAGGACCCCGAATCATGACAATTCAGATTTTATTGTTGACGCACCTGAATATTAACCAGGGCGGCCTGCTGGTTTTAAATCACGAAGCCCAGCAACAAGCAGCAGACACGCTGGGCCTGGAGTACGTCACCGCACCCAGGAAATTAAATTTCAGCAGAGGCGTTACATGTAGCTTGCACAAGGATATTGCAACTTAAAAAAAAAACACAAATTTCATTTTCTAAGCAACAGTAGCCCTCTCAAACTACAGAAACCACACACACGCGCACGGTACAGTATAACGACTTGGAAATCATGTGCGGTGAATAATTTTTTTTCAGGACTTAAATAGATTCAGTTGCAATAAATGCGATGTAAAAAAAGAAGTCTTTTGATTTTTTTTTTCAAGCCACCTGTAGTTAAACGCAAATTACTTACAAAGCCCCAACCGCCTGGCACTTACACATTATTTCCGTGATGGGTTTAACATGTCAAGCCAAAAATATAGAAAAATTTGCCAATGTTTTAGGACAACGAGAAGGCATTAAATTGATGAAAAATATCTGATGCAATGCCAGGCATTTTAACAGCCACATTTATCGTACGCAGCATACACTCCCACGAGACATAAAACACACTGAAGGTGCGCACAAGGGAGTACAGTACAATAAGCAGAATGTAGTCTCTCTCCACAAAATAAATAAATTATATGTTCAGCCCAATATCACTAAGTAGCAGCAGTTAAAGCAAACAAACTTTGGACCGGTTCCAATCTTCTGGGGCCTCATCAGCAGTCAGGCCTTGTTAAAGAAAATGCGCTCTAGATGACAAGATATTATTGGCAGGAGCAATAATATACCGTACCCAGTTCAATGCAAAAAAAAAGAAGCTATTCCATACGCAAACTCATAATGCGTTGTCATCATGGAGGATAAACCATCACCGTGAACTGCGGTCATCCTCGCAGCGGCTTTTGGCTCGCCAATGAACAAAAACGGTCACACTGCATCGCGTCCTTTCAGATGCGCTTCTGCGGCCGTCTGGAACGCTCTCCCCTTCCGATATTAGTTGGCCGCTGGGAGCCTGCCGCTTTTATATCCGAGACCGAAAACCAATTTCTTCAGAACAGCTTTTTGCGTATAGCTTGCCGTCCTTCCCCCGCAACTCCGATAAGCGCAGCTTGGCTACGGACGGCGCCAAAGAAGTTCAACATTCATGCGAAAAAAAAAACGAATAGGTTTTCACCCTTTCCGAGCAGCTATATCATGGGAACCTTTGTGCTGCTCACTGACAGCTTCTAAACGCTCCCATATGTGCATCGTCTTTGTGCTGTTCGTCTTTTGGCATCCCCCTGGTGTGACACTGGTGAGACTCGGCCATAGAGAAGGCCGTCTCTGATGTAGGCCAATCAGTTTCAAAGACAATGCCATATATTATACAATACGTAACAACGATTTTTTTGTCCCTGGGTAGTAAGTGTTATTTTTTAATTGCTTATGGTTAAAAAGTATAGAAAATGGCAATAATTCCCCACAAACTTTGCTTTTGTGACCAGGTGTTTATGTGAAGGAATGACACAAATGCACACCACGTTTTCTCATTGAAAATAGGTACATTTCAAAATATTACTGTCGTGGTCACAAAAGCAAAGTTCGTGGGGAATAACAGCCATTTTCTGTACTTTTGAGGCATAAGCAATTAGGAAACAACACTTACTGCCCATGGACAAAAAAATATATATCTTTTGTTACACAGTGAATTATCAAAGCATGTTTGTTCGCATGTTCACCACAAGTACACGATTAATGCAGTCTTGATTCAATACAAAAATTATCTATTTGGCGTTCGAAAATCTTAACACCTGCCGTTTTATTGCCAGAGAGGGTAAAAACCTATTCTTATTTTTCATACTTTGATAATGGCAAAATAAAGGTCCCATGATAGACACACATACATCGTGGAACGCCGTGGGATAAAATAAGTACGCAAACAAATATGTAAACAAAACCACGGAAGCAAAAAAAACTGTTCCGTCCACCACGTACAACGGCACGTTTAACCGTGCCCGGCAACCATCAGGTCACTGCACACCGCCTCTGCTTTGCCCTTCACCAGGAGGAGACCAACAGCACACCATGCTCACGACGGCGCATGTGGCACGTTACAGAAAGGAATGCGAGTAATCTTATCGGTCACCCCCCCCCCCCACCCCTTTTCCTCCTAATGACAAAGCAACGTGTTGGATTAATCGGAGTTTTTAACGGTCTGTCGGGTGGACGAAAGAGCAGATACGCACAATGGGAAGAGCACAACCTTTACCAAATGCTCGTTGAGATAAGGTTTGTTTTTTTCTATTTCCTCCTTGACGCCGCAGTGACCGGGAAAAGATGGCTTCGAGTCACCTTTGGAAAAGGCAGTGATGAAAGTAAGGCCCCCCCCCCCTCTTTACACCCCTATCTTCTAGAAACAAGCTACGTCTGTCGGTACACGTCAGCTATGCCAAAACAACAAACCCGCGTCCGTCAACAACGCCGTGGGAACGGTGAAGTATAAAACTGACCATCATTTTTTGGGCAACGGCCCTTTTTCACAGCACCGTTTACTTTCTGCGCCATGACAAAAAGGTGGACGCTGCAAGAGGCGACATTTTGGGCAATGGCGATTGCCTCAAACATGGCCTATTCTGGGTTTTTTTCCTTTCTAAGAACACAGTGTTGTCGTCAAATTGTTGAGATGTTTTTGCGTGCAGTATTTGTGCTCGTGAACCGCTGAAAAACACATGGATCCCCCCCCCCCCCCCTACAGCCTTAATAGCCTGTCAGGGCAAGTGCTGTTAGTGAGCAGCACCGATGAAGTTTGGCACGGCACACGAGGGGGTGGGTGGCCTGCACCACGCTGGACTGCCTGTGTCTCCACAGTGGCGATGTTGTTTACACACCGCAACCAGGTTTCTCACATGAGGCCGCGTCGACCTAGGGGAGGCCCACGACCGATTCAGGTGATCGTCACTGGTGTAGGCCGCGAGTGGGAATCGAACCTTGGGTCCCGGGGTTCGTAGCGCAGTGTAGCGCTAACCACCGCACCACACCGCTCCCCACGGCTAATGCACCACTACGAACGCAGCATCGCCAGCTAATGCGTCAACTACGTTCGCGAGGAAGAGTAGGCCAAAGAACCGACAGACAGACTCTTTTGAGCTCTCTCTAGTGAACGTCCTTCAGCCAGCAGTGACATAGCTGCACCTTTAATTTCCTCCCACCAAGTATGCATGTACATACATGCACGTACATGTATGTACATGCACGTACATGTATGTACATGCACGTACATACATGTACATGCACGTACATACATGTACATGCACGTACATACATGTACATGCATGTACAGCCTGTTTTGCCAATCCACTGCTTGGCGGGTTCCAATCCCAGGCAGCGGGTAAACTCAACCAATCCCAGGCAGCGGGTAAACTCAACCAATCCCAGGCAGCGGGTAAACTCAACCAATCCCAGGCAGTGGGTAAACTCAACCAATCCCAGGCAGCGGGTAAACTCAACCAATCCCAGGCAGTGGGTAAACTCAACCAATCCCAGGCAGCGGGTAAACTCAACCAATCCCAGGCAGCGGGTAAACTCAACCAATCCCAGGCAGCGGGTAAACTCAACCAATCCCAGGCAGCGGGTAAACTCAACCAATCCCAGGCAGTGGGTAAACTCAACCAATCCCAGGCAGCGGGTAAACTCAACCAATCCCAGGCAGTGGGTAAACTCAAGCAATCCCAGGCAGTGGGTAAACTCAACCCTTAAATACGACGAACAACATCTGAGTCATGTCCAGCAGACAGACCTGCTCCTGCTCTAGAGGAATGTGGCGATTTCACAAGAAGATGAGGGCCATAATGGGGAGACATGCTCCTCTCCATGCTCACACTTAAGTGTTCACAAATCTGTGGAATCAAATAAAAGCCCGTGCTCTCGGTCCCTGCTAACAGTTTGAAATGCGACATAATGCGACTGAATGGAGGTTTTTGTTATATATATATACACACACACATACGCCGGCGCCTTATTATTATTATACCGAATTCCAGGAGAAGACGATTACGCAAATTAAGCATATCCGTTGTATGGCGCTTAGGCCGCTGCGAGAAAAATAATCAAGCGGAATTTTTGTTCCCAATTCGGCCTTTGCTCATTAAGTCTGGGTGAACGACGTACGCTCTCGGATACACGCCAACCCTCGGGTGCCCTCATGGCCAATTCAAGAAATAGTTCACTTGCACCGCGGTGGCGAAATGTTAACTACACCTCGCCTGGTATGCAGGAGGTCGTGGGCTTGATTCCTACCCTGACACCTGGATATTTGGAGTTTGCGTGTTCTCACTCTTCCCGTGGTGGTGAGGA